AAGTCTCTTTAGTTTCAAAAGCTTCAAGAAATGAGCATTAATTAGGTTTGGGCTTATGCAACCAATAATTCCTTACTTAGCATGGTAAAAAGTCTAATCTGTAACAATTATTCCCAGGATTGTATCCTGCAAATCAGGTGTCTTTGGCCTCAGTGCCTGTTCCTCCTTGCTTGGTTGGTAAATTGTTTTTCCTGCTTTTACTCTGGAAAAATTCTGCAAAATCAGAGGAAATGAATAAATCTAAGGTCACCTGTTAAAGAGAAACAGTGTCAGAGTGGCTTTAACCCTTGTTTCTCCGCTCCTGTGTGGGTGCTGATGGTCCCTCAGGGTTTGGCACAGCTGGGTATCCAAAGTGAGTCTGGAAGAGTCTAATGCACATGGCATGAAAAGCTGCTTGAAATACCTCCATTTCTTGATTCAAGTGTCCTTGATTTAATGATAATGATCAGGAATTCTTTAATCAACTCTGATTACATTAGTTCAGAGAATTTCACATTAGAATTGACCACAACATCTGTCTCCTTTGACCTCCTCAATCTTACAGCTCTGTTAGAGTTTTTTGGGGGGATTTTTTTGCAGCTATTCTTATAGTCAATGTAATAACTTCTGTGCCACTAAAAAGTAGCTGATCATGGCTTGAAGGGGGGAGGAATCCTCCATATGCCCAGTCTGTTCCTCTGTTCAGCTACTTCATCCTCAGTCTGATTCTTCTCCATCCTGGATTGGGTTTCCCTTTGCTTCCATGGGCTGGATGAGGCCTTTAGCAACATGGTCTGGTGGGGAGGTGTCCCTGCCCATGGCAGGGGGGATTGGGACTATATGATCTCTAAGGTCCATTTCAACCCCTAAAATTCTGTGATTCTATGATTTGAGGTATTGTTGCTCTTATACATATATATTACCTGTAGCAAAAGAAGCTCCTTTGAACCTTCAGTTTCCCCACCAGGAGGTGCTTAGAGACCAATATAAAGTTATTATTCACTCTTTTCTGAGGAATTAAACGCTCTTTACATCCTCTACTGCAAACTCACGTCCTGAGTGCTTTGCTGTTGCTCTTTTCTTTGCCCTTTAATGTCTTAATGTTTCTGAACAATGGTTGATACCAGATTGGAGATTGTGCTCAGGTCAATGAGTCTCTGGATGGAAGGAAATTGTATCCTTTTGGCACTCAGTGATCCAGCAGTCCCAGCTATTTCAGGACTGTGCTGAGAGCTCTTTGCTGGTGTCTCCCTCAGACCATGGCAAGGTACAGTCTGGTGCTCTCTGTGAGGAGTTCATGGATGTGTGTTGTTCTCTGTGACTCTTCATTGGAAATCCACTGATCCTTATTCATCTGTGCAATGAGCATTGGCTCTGTTTGGTGGCCTTGGAGAAAGAAAACCCTCTTGCAGGGCTCTCTGTCCTATGTCATCCTCCTGCTGTCAGTAGGATGTGCTTGTATGAACAGCTCTGGCAAGTCTCCCTCAGGTGTGTTTATAACCTCATTAAAAGGTGAGAAAACATTTTCTCTCATCACATTTTTCCTCTTGGGTTCTTTGTGGATAAAATCAACCCTCAGTAAAGCATCAGAGGCAGCAATGGGCTGAGCTGTGTGAGGGATTGTTGACTACTGAGGTCATTTGCTTTGTCCTTTTGTGTTTGAGTGTGTTAAGAGCCTTCTGGCATGGGTTTGATCTGCCCCAAATGCTATTGAAAATCAATGGCATCTCTTCAGGGGGGTGCAGGGTCATGCTCTGAGTTGTGGGAACAAGGAGGGAACATTTGCTGCCTGTTAGGATGTGGCTTTGTAAATAAATGCTTGTTTTTTGCTCTTGGCTCTGTACTGCACATGCAGCACAGCTCTGCAGGTGCATAATAAATCTCTATCAAAGGGCTAGAGAGGGAAAATACCTGATGTGGAGCTCCATGTGACTTTGCTCCTCTGTTTCCAGCTTGGTTGGAGCTGTTGTGTCTCCACACTGCACTGATGGATGAGTGCAGGACACCTCTTATCCCTTCCATAGGTGTGCAAGAGATGGATATATTCATTGATTTTTAAGGGTTTCCTCAATCCTGTGTCACTACTTCATGTCCCACAGTGTCACAAAGCACTTTGAACCTCTCTTGAAAGAAGATGAGCTTTAAGGTCCCTCGAACTCAAACCAGTCTGGGATTTTGTGAATCTGTGACCTCAGAGCCCCTTCTGGTGCCTGTCCCCCAAGACTCTAACACAAGTTTGTGTTGTAGGTATAGTCCAGCATGGACAGGACAAGGGGGAATGGCTTCAAACTGACACAGGGTTAGATGGGATATTGGGAAGGAATTGTTGGCTGGGAGGGTGGTGAGACACTGGCACAGGTTGCCCAGAGCAGTTGTGGCTGCTTCATCCCTGGGAGTGTTCCAGGTCAAGTTGGATGGGGCTTGGAGCAACATGGGCTGGTGAATGGTGTCCCTGCCCATGGCAGGGGGTGAGATGAGATGATGCTTAAGGTTCCTTTCCCACCCAAACCAGTCTGAGATTCTATGATCCTATGAATTATAGAGTAAGTTATATGAGAAGCAGCTGAGTGAGCTGTGGGAGTTCAGCCTGGAGAAAAGGAAACTCAGAAAGACCTTCTGCTCTCTCCAGCTCCCTGGCAGGAGGTGCAGCCCGGTGGGGTCAGGCTCTGCTCCCAGGGAACAAGGGACAGGATGAGGGAATGGCCTCAGGCTGTGCCAGGGGAGGTTCAGATTGGACATGAGGAGGAATTTCTCCATGGAAAGGGCTGTCAGGCATTGGAATGTACTGCCCAGGGAGATGATGGAGTCACCATCCCTGGAGGTGTCCAAGGAATGACTGGACATGGCATTCAGTACTCTGGTCTAGCTGACAAGTGGTGATGGAAACAGGTTAGAATTGATGGTCTTGGAGGCCTTTTCCAACCTCAGTGCTGCTGTGACTGATAACATGTGCCAGGCCAAGGAGGCTGTAGCAGGGAAAACAGCATGAAAACCTTTGTACTTTCACATTTAGGACTAACTTAGGTGTTGAGTAAGTTGGAGGCTGATGTGTGTCACTGCTGTCTCCATTGCCTGCGTGGATGAAGCAGCTTCAATCAGTCTCCCAGATGCATGTTTTATTCTTATCTGCCTTCCAAGCTTTGCTTGATTCAACCATATGAAGACAAAGGCAGCTAATTACCCAATGAAATGAGCAAACTGTCTTGGCCCAGCAGCTGGAGAGAGATGGCACAGCAAATACAGGCTGTGATGCTGCTCTCCTGTTGTGTGTGGAGCTCCCTTGGAGCTCAGGTGAGGTTGGTGGAACATGATGCATGTTTCCCACTCACAATGTGTGCCTTGGAATTCAGCACAGAGTGGACATTAAGAGCATCTGCCACACTTGTGTGCACCTTCCACACCACCAGCCCTGGCTGAGATGATGCAGTTCACAGTGCAGTGAGATTAGACCCAGGTTCAGCATCTTAGACTGAGCTTTGTGTTTGTTTGAGAGCTTAGGGAGGTCTGAGGGGAATTATCCCAGTGCAGTGTGTAGCCATGTGAGTTTTGGAGCGTGTTTGGTTCAATTCAGAGATTAAAGAGTGAGAAATTGAACCTAATGGTGGCAGAAACCTCCGTGGGAAACAGATTTCTGTAATCATCTTCATTTGGATTAATAGACTTGAACCATGGAGCAACACTCATGGCTTCAGATTGAATTCAAGAGTGATTAGTCACTTGAGTCTTCATAATTTCATCAATCCAAAATGAACATTTTGTTGGGGTTTTTTTATTCCTTCTTGGAAAACAGCAAAGAGATTCATCTTGTTGAACTTCCCAAGGGTAAATCTTTCTCTTTCCTCCTCACAGATTTGTTTGGTTATCTGCAGTGTTTGAAGTCATAGAGTCATGGAATGGTTTGATTTGGAAGGACCTTAAGGCTCATCTCATTCCACCCCCTGCCATGGGCAGGGACACCTTTCACTAGCCCAGGGTGCACCAAGTCCCATCCAACCTGGCCTGGAACACTTGAATCCTTCCCTGTGAGGGTGGTGAGGCACTGGCACAGGTTGCCCAGGGAGGCTGTGGCTGCTCCATCCCTGGGAGTGTTCCAGGAGGAATTTCTCCATGGAAAGGGCTGTCAGGCATTGGAATGTGCTGCTCAGGGAGGTGGTGGAGTCACCATCCCTGGAGGTGTCCAAGGAACAACTGGATGTGGCACTCAGTGCTCTGCTCTAGCTGACAAGTGGTAATGGGTCACAGACTGGACTTGAAAATCTCAGAGGTGTTTTCCTTTTCTTAGCTTGTGTCAAGACCAGGAGGCTGTAGCAGGGCTCCTGGTGGAACAAAGTCCAAATGAATTGCCTTGGTGTTCCCACATCCCAAGGCCTATCCTAATTTCTTCCCTCCATCCCTGACCCCTGGTGTGGGGGATCTCATTTGCTTGGAGCTGTTGCAGTGGGAGTAATTGTATGCTATCCTTATTTTAATCTAGTGTGTTCTAAAGCCGGTGATGAATTTACCTGCTGGAAGTGAAATGCCTGGAAGAAGGGAATCTGCATTCAATTGGCCTATTCAATTGCAGCTCTAAAGGCAAACAGCTGCTTGCACACGATCCATGTGCTACTGGATCCTACCATTAGGATGCAAATGAAGCTGCCTATTTATTTCCCAGGCTTGATCAGTTTGGCTCCAAGATGGAGAAGAAGCAAGTAGGAAAGCTGAAAAGCAGATGAAACCACAGGAGATATGGAAATGGCATAGACTGATTAATGTTATCATGAGATATATATGTTGTTCTGGCCAAAACGTGGGCTTTAAATGGAGATCCAGTTGTGTTCTTGCTGTGAACATGAAAACAAGCTCTAAATCTGCATTTTGCTGAAAAATGCCTGAAATTTGCGGCTTTTAGAGTTGTTTTGCCTCTATTTTGCTCTTGAATTGTGTCTGAGGTGACTCACGTACTTCCCATCACTGACCCATCAGAGGAGACTCAACTCAAGCCTGACTTAACCCTGTTTTTTCTCTCTGTTTCTTCCCAGATTTGGATGATCCAATTGTGACAGTTCACCAGAGCATTGGGGAAGCAAAGGAGCAGTTTTACTATGAGAGAACTGTGTTTCTCAGGTGTGTTGCCAACTCCAACCCACCAGTGCGGTACAGCTGGCGCCGAGGCCAAGAGGTGTTGCTGCAGGGCTCTGACAAAGGGGTGGAGATCTATGAGCCCTTCTTTACCCAGGTAGGAATGAAAGGAGGGATTCTTTTCCTTCTTTATGCTTTGGAATGGATTTTTGGAGTGGAAGGTAGGACGTTTGCAGCAAAGGAGTGTGGCAGCAGGTGAGGGAGGTGGTTCTTCCCCTCTGCTCTGCTCTGGTGTGACCCACCTGGAATACTGCACACAGTTCTGGTGGCCCCAACATGAGAAGGGCGTGGAACTGTTGGAGCAAGGCCAGAGGAGGCCACAGAGCTCATAAAAGAACTGGAGCACCTTCCCTGTGGACAGAGTTGGGGCTGTTCAGCCTGGACAAGAGAAGGTTTTGTGGAGACCCCAGAGCAACTGCCAGGAGCTGAAGGGGCTCCAGGGAAGCTGCAGAGGGACTCTTGGTTAGGAACTGCAGAGACAGGACAAGGAGGAATGGGGATAAATTGAAAGAGGGAAATTGAGATTTGATGTTAGGCAGAAGTTTCTCATGTGAGGGTGGTGAGACACTGGCACAGGTTGCCCAGGGAGGCTGTGGCTGCCCCAACCCTGGCAGTGTTCACAGCCAGGTTGGCTAAAGTCTTGAGCAACCTGCTCTGGTGGGGGGTGTCCCTGCACTGGTGGGAGGGGTTGGCACTGGATTATCTCTAAGCTCTATTCCAACCCTTTAACATATTCTGAGTACCCTCCAGATCACTATACCCCACCCAAACACACCTGTGAATGACTCTAAGCTTTCTAATATGAACTCTATCTGTTAATTCCTTACAAAAACATGAAATATGGGATGATGGCAACATCCTCAGTGAGTACTATGTGCAGGAGCCCCTTTAAAGTCAACTTATTGGGTGCTACAAGCTCAAACCTCTGATTTGACTCCTATTTCGTCATCTTTCCCAGTGTTGTGATTCCACACAGAAGTTACAGCCTGACAAGCCTTTACTGAAGACCATGAGAGATTTAGAGTAGATATTAGGAACAATTTCTTCACAGAAATGGTTGGAAAGCATTGGAACAAGCTGCCCAGGGCAGGGGTGGAATCACAATCCCTGGAAGCATCCAAAAACCATGTGGATGTGGTACTGAGGACATGGCTGAGTTGATGGTTGGAATTGATGATCGGACTTGATGATCCCAGAGGTCTTTTCCAACTTTAATAATTGTGTTATTCTAGACTCTATTTTGGAGGGGGTTTTTTTACTATTTTTTTCCTGCCTTTCTTGGCTTTAAATAGAAGTTTCTGTTTCAGGATTCCACAGTGAAAAGATGAGGTGGCAAAAATGGAAATCAAGGCTTTTCCTTAAGTCTTCCTGTTCCCACTCAAGAGCCACAAAGTCAGGCTGAGCCTGTCACAGCAGCTGAGATGAGTTTATTGTTAGCACATTTGCACAGTGGCAGCAGCAAGAGGTGACATCTATTGTCTGGGGACAGAAGTGTGTGATGGTGTTTGCAAAGAAAAAGCATAAAAAGAGGGGAAATAAAAAGGTGGAAAATTGGTTTGGAAACTCCCAGGCAATAACAGAGAGGTGAAAAGTGCTTGGTGATTTGGTCTGAGGAGCAGAAAACAACCTGTGCCTTGGATAAATAATTTCCAGCTAATGATTTGAGAGCACTTTCATTTTTTATCCCTTTTTATTGCACTTGACAGGTTGATATTGCTCCAAGGGCTCTGTGTTTTCCTCAGGAAGGTGGAGCTGGAACCTTGCAGAGCTGGGAATGAGATGCTGAGCCAAGTTTTGGGCTCCTAAATGGAATGAGATTAGTCTGAATTTAACATGTAGGGCCCCAGTTTAGCAAATCTGTGCTTTGTTTGTTGGACTTAAAGGTGCAAACTGCAGATTTAAAGGGGTTTAATTAAAAAGTGAAAGTCTCTCCTGACATGAAACTTGTTGTTTCATGCCTCAGTGTGGAAATGCTGTTGATTACCTTCCTAACATCTGAGAACCTTAATAAAATGTGTCACATGGAGTTAGATTTATCTTGTTTTTAATATTTGGAGGTTATTAGGCTCATCCTTCCTCAAATCTCTGCCTAGGCTGAAGTAATGAATAGATCAGATTGGCATCTTCATAGGCAAAAGCTTCT